CCGATTAGCTGAGTGGGTTCGTGCAGTCAGAAACGAACATGCAGTGGGATTGTCGGTCGGGGAGGTGTGGCAGGAGGAGGCGGAGGAACGAGAGAGCACAACGTGGAATGGGTATTGACAACATGCGCCTCACATTCAACTCACTATGTTTTGATGGAGGGAATGTTCAAAACAATCGACAACGACTGCCAGATCACTCCCACCAATGGGAAACCGATTTCATGATATGGACACATGAAGCACTCCTGAGGCAACCATCAGTTACCCTACAGCCTTCTGGCTCACTACACACAATTGACCAACTAAATTCTCATTACAAACTTAAACCACCCCTTCAACGGTAGTTTTAAGCATTGCCATCGCATTTCTCCAGCAGAGGAATAACGTGGACAATTTAGAACCAGGCATGGAATAGCCAGTCGACCTCATATCTGTGCTGACTGTGTGTGTGTTTAAAGGCTCTTGCCTTGACTAAATTATAAATTGAACATAATTCTTCCTCCACCACCTCTTCTTTGCATACTTCTCTGCCCTTTTATTCACCGCCGCGCGTCTTTGAAGTCGCTTGCGCAAATCACCGCGGAATGCGGGCGCATACGTGTCTAGCTGTGGCGCAGTCTAATGGGATGTAATTGAAGAAAGGTGGCTGGGGATAATGACCCTCCTCTTCCTCCTGGGTCGCCACAATTCACCAAAAATATTTGAGTCGAAACCTCTGTTTTACGGACTCTTTGATTTAAGCTCATGTGATAGCGCTGGCGGTGCCGCTTCAATTTGATTGGTCCGTCCAGTTCAATCGGCTTCGTCAACACTGTAGCTGGATCGATGAGCCCAGATACAAAATATTTCGACCACAAAACAATGTGGGGTTATAAAGGCTTGTGCGTGATTTCCGCAGACGGCAGAAGTATGTACTTTTGACCGCGATGACGTTTCTTCTCATGGCGACATCATTTCCTGACAGTTGTTTAAGTACATGGTGAGTCAACATAACCTGGTGGTACAGAAAAGACTGCTTAACGTGAATGACAAACCACAGTTTCGTCATGTCCTGGAGTCTGAGTTTATAACAGTGAGTGAGTATTTGAATTACAGCAAAAAATGTGCAGTTATACAATGACTCATTCGAATCCAATATGGCGACTTCAATCCGAGCGACCGTCTGACAATTGTAGGCCAAATTGCGAATCCACGGATTACCCATGGGGAGATTGCTAAGATACCAAATATCGAAATTCGATATGCGGATCCTTCACGTTTTGACAGAACGGAACACACTGAACCGTGGTTCAACAGCAATTTATCAGTTCTTTCCATTGACAAAACGAACCTTGCGCGGATCGAGTCGTAACTGGAGACAAAATGCGGTTTGAGTATAACTAGATAGTACAAAAACGTTGCTGAGAACAACCTGGGGAAAGATCAGAGTCTATGGTGACGGCTCAATTGCTGTGTCAGTTGGGCAAAATCAGTCTCCAGTGCAGTAATCAGTGAACAGCGGGTATATTTATTTATCTATTGGATCATATGTAATTTCAGGTTCCGAAGTGTGTTCGCCATCGGAGGGATGTGGTAGGGTGCGACGAGGCTCTCCCCATCCATAAATGGCACAAATGCGGCCCCGGCAAAGGGGTTGGCCTTTAGCTTCTGAACTAACTTCAATCAGACGCTAGGTTGAATTGACGAGGCATGTGCGATTCCGTGTTCCCAATGCGCGTCCATATTTGAGTGCTACAGGTCAACGAGTGGCCTATTTACATCCAATCTAATCCCAGCACAACAATGGAAAGTTCTATTTCCGTGAGAATTTCAGCCTGTGGAGCATTTTAATTGTGTGCATGGGTTAACCCATTCGTAAGTTTTACCAATCCCAACCAACGAGAGAAATGCCGCGTTTTTTTGCTTCTTTGGCAAAACAAATGGTACTGCGAAACCTTTGCTAATTACTAGAATACCAGATCATTCAAAGAGCAGCTTTTTGTCCACAAAAAAGCTCTGGTGGAAGCCCAGATGAAAGGGCGCCGAAACGGTTGAAAATTGCATTTTAAACAAGGCGGAACCATAATGAACAACGGGCATTTGTATTCGCCGTGAACATGTAAAAAAAAGGCAAACTACAAGGGCATTTCCCTTTAATGCAAGTTGCAACTCCTTGTTTGGTGTAATGCCCTTGTTAAAAAACAAAAAATTGCGTTTTTAACGCCCTTTTACCAGCACCGAAGAAGCGCTCTGGCTCATGGTGAGCAGACCAATAACTGACCAATGAGAGTGAGTAATTATCAACCAATAAGAGCTATCTGGTCACCGATCGCCATTAACACTAAATTAACGAGTATTGCATCCTAATGCTCGTTAAAATTCACTGAGTGGTGAATTACCGTCGATAAAAGCATCCAAAATTACTGTCTTTTACGATCGTGGAAGAAGCCGACTGGATAGAAGTTAGTTGACCAATAAGTTATTCGTCAATGGGAATATTTGCGGGCCATTTGGTTATCGATTGCAACAGACATTAATTTTGCACCAAATTATGTCCAATGTGCACTGCTGTTTGGTAGATTTTGCAATACACTCGATAACAGATTTCGGAACTGGGAATTTAACGATCTTTTATCAATATGAGCGACAAAGTTGATGCATGAGAACTTATCCCAAGTTTGATTGGTCCACAAGCAGTGTATAAACTCAATACCTTCTTTAAATGACTTCTCTTATTTGATTAGTTTTAGTGAAACATTTAACGGTTTAGTTGTCTGTTGATAATTCCCTTCTCTTGTGTATTTCTGTTCCCTGACACCCTATTTCGAATTATCTCTAAATTAGAATTTGTCAAAAACTTATTTAAAAATCGATGTGAAATTAGCGTTCACAGTGTAACAACAACAAATTTAAAAATGAGCCATTTACTGAACCAATCAACGGTGACCGTTTGGACCTATAGTGTTAATATCCACTGTTCACCAATGCTAATTGTGGTGATGGATTTAACTGTGCTTAGTTCAAAGCGTACGCATCGGTTATTACTTGTGCTTGCATCGTATAGGTGATCCCTTAACAACCATTTAATCTTCAAACCGCAAACAAATGCTTAGAGCTCTCACGTAATCACTATCATTCTAACTTTGAGAATGATAGACGATATATGAGGCTGGTGTGTTGATTCACTTACAATTCGTCAAGAAGAGAATAAAGTGCAATAAATGGGATATGTTTTTTTTTAAAGTAGACGGTACGGTTGGTCAGGAAACCGTAAATGTTCCCATTGCTTCCATCCTGCCCCGCCGGTAAAGCCGCCCTCCACGAATCACCCAAGTCGATCGAAATCTGGCCGAACGCACTCGTTATTCCCCCAAAATTTATGTCGACGTGGGCAGCCGGATAGCTGCCAAGTTGCCGACGGATTGTGCGATTTATCCCAGGAGCGGTTTTCCCGAATCAGAACTTTCCCACAATTTCTATCGCCTGACGAATCGCCCTAAGATATGGCTTATTGACAACTTAACGAACATGGAGCCGCGGCTACAATTTGATTGGCTCTTACGCTCAGGTTCAATTTGATTGGCTCTCTGTTTCATCCACCATCTGTGCATAAAAATCTATTCATTAAAATGTGTTTGGGCATCGATTGCGGAGCCACACTAACCAAGTTATGGCGTGGTTGCCAATCGCCAACACTTCCACCTGCTCTTGTCACCAGAAAATGGGAAGGTGACACTCCATGCTGACTTTGTGTTTTATTGTGGTAGATTCAGGTACGCTTTCACGAATTAATACACAACTCATAAATGTCTTGCATTAGCCACCAGTTCACCGCTCTCATTGGTCAGTTATTGGCCCAATCACGACGAGAGTTATGCTCCCAGCGTTCGAGCAAGCGGTTGTGCAAGCACCTACTCATGCCGCTGACCTTTCCACAGACTCCATGTGTGTTCTGGATCAGCGCGCGTCAACAACAAGAAGACTGAAAAGCAACGCCGCATCCACGTTCAGAAAATCCGTCGATGGATGGTTAAATTCGAGAGAATTCGCTCCCTCCACCTGACCTGCTTTGATCTCCACGCCGCAAGTGGCGCAGCACTAAAGGCCAAACGGCCGCGCATCGATCGATAATCTCTCGTTAGCTCGCGCGCACGCAGATGTCGAGGTCATCCACGGCACGCCAGATTTTAATCCTTAAAGACGGGTTAGTAACTAGTAGGTTGCACTAATCCTTGGGAAGAACTTCGTGATATTGGAGGTGGTGTCATTTGTAAGAACTGGCAGGTCAATCGCCAAGAATGTGATCTCTACGAAGAACAGCGCTCAACTACAAGCAGTGTATGTGTATGCATCAAACACACCTACTACCACTGCTTCGGGGCGAAATAAAGAAAAACTGTCAAGTTGTCGGCTTTGCCATAGAGGAAATCTCCTCATCCAATCAGTTTAAAGGTTGACTCGCAAGGCGGTCATTTCTTTTTTGTGTGTGTCTGTGTTAATGTAGAAGCGATAATTAGACGCACGACTGGCAGCCGAATATTTTGACAGTCGCAATTCAACAATCTGACAGCCGCCCACAAGTTAAGAATATTCCCGTAACATTTGCGTGGTCCGATGCTGATAAAGTGGCCACAACAATTCTTGCTTTAACCTTCACTTTGAAACCATCTAATCAGGAAAACCCAACAGGTGATCCATTGGAAACTGATTTTCACTTGGATGCACAATTGTCCAAAGTCAATGCTGATGGGATTGAGCCAATCTCAGTCATTCAGAGGTCAAGGTACCTCTGTTTCACAGTACGGTGCTCAGCCAACTGACAGAATTCTCCACAAAAAAAGAGGCCGACTCGACCTTGAGTCGACCAATAGATGCTCAAGCAGGTCTGCCTCAAGATGATTGGTGCATGAGTTTAAACCCCTACAAATATACACACACACACCAAATGAGGCTCAAAAAACAGGCATAACCCATTTGGAAATTGCACCAACCCAACACAAACAACATGTGAGATAACGAAACAGTCAACAATCCGACAGCCGCACACAAGTAAAGATTATTCCTGAGACATTTACACGGTTCAATCGCTTTCAAAATGCGCTAGAAGATCCACCCAAGTTTTGAAAATCCGCTGTTCCACAGAACAAGTGGCCACAAGTTAATTTAAGCCATGGTAACATAACCGTCGACTCTTTCAGTAGTGAACGAATGAGATCAACCTTACTTTGAATTGACCAATGAAAGCTCAAGCAGGTTTACTTCAAGCTGATTGGTGCCTGGTTGCATGACAAATCGATAAAAACGCCCACGCACACAATGGGCAATCATGTGTACAGGAACGGTTGTCGTTCTACCCCCACTGCGTCATCTTCTCAGCCCTCGCCAACACACACACGCACAATCGCAATGCAAAATAATGAGGCAAGAGCAGGGGTAAGACGAAACACATTCGAACATCTGATGGGTGTTAATGACAGCACAAACACGCCCGTCGGCAGGTCAATAAGCTGGTGTCTCCGCATTCAACTTTCGGCTCAACAGGTGGTCGTTGGGCCCTGGGTCGGAGGTGGCTGTTCCGGGGCTGGAGCCATCATGCCGACGTGTTGGTCGTTGGGCTTCGGCGGTGCCGGATCGCCAGACGGCGCCTCCACAGCCATGGTGGGATCTGCGATGGACATGGGCGACTGCTGCATCGGCAGTTGAACTGCCTGTGGGCCGGGCTCGTAGCGTGGCGGACCAAAGTCTCCGGTGGAGGAGACTACTGCAGGTGGAAACTGTTGATGCTGCTGTTGCATGGCCATTGGTGGCTGCGGCTGTTGTACTCCGGGCGGGGGGTGCAGGGGATAGGCATACGGCGGAAAAGGCCCAGGCTGAAAAGTACACGTCCGAATTTTAAATATGCAAAAGAATCTACTGAAAACATACAAGTAGAAAGGGTGTTTTACATTGCGTTGGCTCACCCGTTGTTGGAGGAAGATTCGGTCGTCGGCCGATGTGGGTGGCGCACCGGGGACCTGTTGTGGCGGCAGTGCATGCTGATGCTGAGGAGGCATCGGTCCACCTGAAACGAAAGATGAAAATGGCATGTAAAAGGCACAATCCAACTGGGCTTGGACGATAAAGTTCAGTTGAGTGCACACACCAACTAGAGGTTGATGCGGTCCAGGTGGCATGTAGTTCGGTGGCATCGGCTGTCCTGGCGGCATCTGGAGAGCGGGACCCCGCGGTGGATGAGTCTGGAGCTGCGCCTGAGGCTGCGACATTGAAGCGGGCGGGTACACGGCGCCAGAGGGTGCGTGTGGGGGCGCTGACTGTTCGGGCGGTCCAGGTGGGAACCCGGAGGGTGGTGGGTGAGTGCCTTGCGGTGGGAGAGGAGTCGGAGGTGGACCGCGTTGGGCCACCGTGCCACCACCGGTGTTCGTCGCCTGGTCCGCGATTGTTGCGAGGTAGATGAGGTTCTTGTGAAGCACCTGCAGCTCTTGCATTTCTCGGTTATTGTTACCAGCCTTTTGGTGGGTCATGATGTTGTGAATCAGCTGAACATTGTCGTCTAGTATCTGGCAACGGGGAAGTCAAACGACATATTAGCAATGACAGCACAAGTCACCGCAAACTATGAACGTCTCTTCGTATTTACAAAAAAATAGTTTCGAAAAAAAAACTCCGCAGACGTGGGTGCTTGTTTTACACACAAAATTCCGGACCATTTACCACTTTCTTAACCCTCAGTACGGTAAGCGCAACGACACCTGCCGAATACAAAAGAGAATCAGAATATATCTGCAGAACTTAGCGAAACAAAACAATTCGATCGTGAAGTACAAATTTAGAGTGGTGTAGTGAAAAAAGATAGTAACTATAGGCGCATGACATGTCACAAAAATGGTCTTGATCAATCAAAACATTGTCACAAGGCCACAGTTGTTGCGAAAGGATGGTGCAATATGCAATTTGTTGAGGTTTAATCGACAAACTTGCGAAGTTGATGTGCGTGTCACCCAGACGCACTATTTTCTGGAAATGATTAATGCATAATTTAAGAAAAACAGGTCAAATATTGACCGAACAGCACAAATTCTGTAAGAAAGGTTGGAAAAATGTGCTGAAAATGAGGGATACCCAATGACGAAAACCGTTTCAATGTGTTGCGTGTTCAATACGAGAACTAAATAGACTAACAAGCATACATGCTGAATCGAAAAACCCTGTAAATACTGAATAAATGATTGAACGTAAGACTAACCCGGCTTAGTCACCACGAAAAGGTAGACAACATGGTAAATGGATCCGTGAACGACAAAAATATCGGCATTTTTTCAGACCTAAATCAAATAAAAATGACCTCACAGATGGCAATCTCGCCAAATTCAACTTTCAGCGGAAAGGATAACTTGAGTACAACGCGGTAAAAATTAAAATACCTTCTTAAATAGGACTAGGGATTAGATAAGGCCACAAAAGAAATCGCAGCTAACCTTTTGGATTCCACTGGTAGTCACAATTGGTTCTCGTCTGGATTGAGCAGCCGCGGGAGGATAGTACATCTTTTCAAATTGCAGAGATGATAAACACTTCAGATAGAAGAATTAGCTTGGATCCCTCAGTACGTGTCCCCAGCCGAGGGAATTGATCGAAAGAAAATTGGCAAAGAGATCGATGTGTAGCACAATCCCTATAACGATTGTGGAGACATTATTGGTATGGTTACAGGCGTATTAAGGATGTGGTGTTAGCTGGAATATGTATATGCGGAGAAGAGGCAAAATGCTGGTTTCATATAAGTTTCAGACAAGAATTGTTGGATCGATACAGCTATGATCATTTTGTTATTAACCGTAGGTCAAAATGATAACCAAAGTAAATTATGCAAGCAACATCAGTCCTACTGAAGTAACAACCTTAAGATAAAGTCGTCGAAAAGTGCCAGTAGAGAAAACGCGCGCCAAAAGTTATAGATGGCGGCTGAGCTGAATTCAATAGTATGGTAGACTTAAACGTAAAAAGGAACTCAATCTTCTCGAAAAAATCATATCCAAGTAAAAGATATATACAACTAAGCTGAGCTCTCTGTAGGTATCCACGTCATGTTATCATTGTCACGTAAGTTGGGCTGCTTACCAAAATATATTGTCAGAAAGTTAAACAGAAAATTTGCGCTGATTGGCTTAATATATATAGCATTTTTTTGCAAACAGCAAATGATAAAATATTTGATATCAGACTTTGCAAAATTTAAAAAAAACAGAAAAAAAAACAAATTGACTTTATACAGTTAGATGATGGAGTAAAAACTTTCTAGAGTTTTAATATGTAGCAAATATATAAGCAATAGTTAGTGAAGGTAATTAACCTTTGCTGCTGAATAGTTTCTTATTTCTGCAGAATCAACATTAAAACAGTAATTTCTCAAAAAAAAATGAAAGCTAAGTTTGTGATTAGCTTCTCGTTATCAGAGGAAATTTCGGAGGATTTTTTACATCATCTAATGCTACTGTCAGGCAGATCGAATATATGTATGTTTTTTCGCTATTTCTCTACAACATTGCAAATTGCGGAAATTATGTAAATTTATTTAAGGCTTTCAAGTTTATTAACACATTTTTCAAGGTTACTCAAAATAGATATACGGTTTTCGCTGATTGCTAACCCAAAATATCTCGATGACACTGTTCTGTATGCATCGCACATTTGGTTTACCAAATGGGGAGTAAAGGAACCGTGTGTATCAAAAAGTAAAGGGAAGTATGGAGTGCACCTAACTTCTCTCTGACGAATGAGTTCAATAACTTGAATTTATTACTACGTAGCTAGTTGTTGTAGAGATCAACAAACATCAAAGCAGTCAAAATTAAACGTTTTAGTCTATATAAGTACCCATATAAATACTGCCATCACATACAAACAAAGGTTGAAGAGCAAACTCATCAGATAGTTTCCAGTAAAGCAAATTACACAAGCGTAATTATTTCAACCAGACTACCTAAAATCAAAAAATTTCCAGCCAACTCAAAGTGAAAAATGCGGTTAAAGCAACTAAGTTGGTGCTCTAAACTACGATATGATCTGAATGACAATTTTAAACGAAAACATTCTTCCAGCGTCTACCTTCCACTTGTCCCGGAATTTTTTTATAGAGAAGGCTGAACTGAAAAGCCTAAATAATGCTGTTCAGAAATGTTAAAAGGCAGTTACACTAGCTTTAAAGGCATTTAAGTTGTGGCGAAGTTGTAGTTTTTCGTTTTCAAACAGAAAAAAGTGATGAACACAGGCGAGCATTAAACTTGTCGTTTTGATTATCAACACTACGCATTATGAAAGGACAAATCAAGTGTTGGCAGATTTATATTTAAATTTCTGTAACTGAAATTCAGATGTTGCGCTCAGGTAAATTCGCCAATAATAAGAACTCAGTCCTCCATTACAAAGCATTAGTACACCATAACCTTTACATTTCCGTTGAAAAAGACTTATACAATTGCAAGTCCAGATTGACACGCCAAAGACGACACGAAACGCTTGACATCATCTACGTCCGCCGTTTTGTAAACTTGAAACAGCATGATTACCGCTAGTTCAGTGAGCAAATTGTAGGCGGTGATCAGTAAGACTCAGAATTCAAACAACAGATAATTCAAGGCTAACGTGCAATATTACAAGACGGCCACACCTTCCAGCGAACTTCAGGAAATTCAAAAGTCATGCAATCTGGAAATAACAAAGATAATTTAAGTAATGAATTCGTTATAATTAAACGTACAGAAACAAAATCCCTGAAAAAAAAATGAGAAAAAAAACACCAGTCATCAGTGGTCAATTTTGACTCTCCCGCTACGGTTGCTGTTGTTTTTGTTACATTTCGACAACAAGGACCTTTTCAGGACTTCTGGAGGAAACGTGGGGGCCAAATTATCATCAGAAGAGGACATCGCATCACCACCAAGGGGGCTCTTCTTGCCGTGAACGACGCCTCGAGCCAAAGATTTGCCCGATTCGCGGAGAGCCTGTGTCTTAGCTGCCTCCCGAATTTGCCTGGCTCGCATCTTGTTACTCAGCTGGAGTAGGCGAGTGTTTTCGTCACGAAGAGCTTCAATCTGCTGACAAGCGCTGTCTAACCGTTGCTGCAGCACTTCCGCGCTTTCACTGCCAGTGTTGCATTGCCTCAGTTGCCGATTCTCCGCCTCGAGCTTGTCGCAGGCAATTTGGAGAGCCGCCACCTGCCCGACAAGATCACGGGTTGTTGCCTCGAGCTGACTGGCGGAGATCTTCATGGGGTCAAACATGTAGTCCTTGGCGAGTGCTCGGTCTAGGTCAGTGCGGAGACGAAGGTTCTCGGCTTCCAAACGATTTACGCTCCTCACAGCTAGTTGACGCTCCAGTTCGGCGGCATCCCGAGCTTTTGTGGTTTCTATCGAGGCCTTCTCAGCCGCAGCAAGAGATACCAGGAGGCGATTTTTCTCCGCTTCAGTCTCCTCTTTGACCGAAGTCAGAGTGTGATTTACAGTAAACAATTCTTGTTTGAGCATTTTTTCTGATTCTCTGTAAAATATACAAGGGATCGTGATAAAAGGTTATTTTAAGAGACAAGGGACTCGAAGACTAATCTACCTTAGCGCATGAAGCTCCTTGGTTAGCGATTTCTTCTCCGACTTGTGACGCGATTCAAGACGTGATATTTTCAAGTCGCACGCCGATTTGGCTTTTTCGGCAAGAGCCAAGGACTCACGGAGCTCCTTTATCTGCCCCTCGAGTTGTTGCACCGCCTGGGACTTTGCGGCTACCTCCGACGTGATCGCATTGAACGCATCACTTGAGGTTTGCAGTTCCTGCGTGAGGCGTCGAATCTCCTGCTTGGCGCGGTCGGCGGCGTCCTCAGCGGCAGCAGTGCGCATCTCAAGAACCAGACGCTGTCGATCGGCCTCCGCCGAGGCCTCCGAGGCGCGTCGCGCTGCCTCAGCCAACGCCGACTCTAAGTCGTTCGACGCGCGCGCTCGTTCTGCCTCGATGTCGGCCTGAAGGCGGGTGATTTGGGCATTCAGCCGACACCGCTCAGCTGACTCGGATTCTGCCAGCTTTGAGAGTGCTGTTGTCGAAGCCTTCCTTAGATCCGCCTCCTGCGCTACGGCCCGCCTGGATTCCTCTTCGAAGCGTGTCTTCCAGTTCAGCGCACACAGCTCGCTGGTGTGGAAGTCTTCCGTAACTTGGTCAAGGCTAACACGCAACTCACTGATTTCTGCATCGCGCTTTAATAAAATCTTAAAAAAAAACAAACAATGAAGACCATTTGAGATACAAACTAACAGTCTTGAGATTGTCAACAGTTTGCTCGTAGCGTGCGAGTTCACAATCCCGGGATTTGAGCAAGTCGTAATTGTAAATGAAGGAATTTTTGATTTCTTCGAGTTGAGCAGTTTGTTCGGAGATCTTCTCCTCCTTTTGAGCTAAAGACAGTTGAAGAACGCTGATCTCCCTTAAGAGAAGCTCTTTCCACTCCTCCTCTTGTTTTAGGACTAAATTTAATAAATTTTTGAGTTACAAAATATTTAACGAAATTGACCAAAAAAGGAAGGAAAGAGAAATCCAGATTAGGGGAATAGGGGGAATTAATGGGTGCAGATTTAATCTATCACTTACAAAGCAGGTTTGTTAAATTTTATTAAATGAGCTGCCCACTGCACAATTATCAACCCAAAGCCATATCCGCAGTTATATTTATGGAAAGGTAGTTTTGTTACCTGATTTCCAATATCTAATTCATTAGAAACGTAAAATTTTAAGGAGTTTCGAAAATAGCTCATTCCACCACATTTATCGCATCAACGTGGTGTGATTAACTTAAGAACTTTGAAGACGTTCTCGGAATTTCCATAAAGGTATGAAATCGTGCCACAACTTAGAACTAACCTGGCTCTACTTGCAGTAGTAGCAGTTTTGGATTTAAGAGCTAAGCGTTTCCAAATCATATACAAAGCCAAATTAGTCCTTTCTCAAGCAAGAAGGGAATTTCGTAATAACAAGTTTTTGCTATAGCCTGTCTCAGGAAAGCAGAAAGAACAGAGCACCTATTTTAAACTTAAATGACGATAAAAAATAATTTTATCTGCTTTGTCCTGTCGTTAGCATGTCAAATACGAAAAAAACATTAGGGTGGGTAGTAAAGAAAAAGCAAACTACGCTAGTCCTGCGCTAATTTAAAAACCTGTGGAGGAAGATATATCATGCCGTCGGTGCACAAATTCCTGCTGAATCCTGACGAAATCCCCTTATTATTTAAATGAGGCAATTACTAGTTGCTTTCAACGTCAACTACATGAAACGCGAGCCGTAAATAAAAAGGATTTAAGATCTCTCAGGAAATAGGCGATAAAAAAGCAAGAGTAACGGCACAGAAGTGATGAAGAAAACTTTTATGATTTTTGGAAGGAGAAATTAGCTCAAATTAAATCAACACACAAACTACCGATGTGGTAAAATCACTTCAATTCGAATGTGCATAAGAAATTCTAACTCTAACAGCATCTCGATATCATATGTATGGCAAAATCGAAATCGCAGTAAAAAACTAAAATATAAAAGAAACACAAAAAAATAGAAACCTGGGTAAACAGACTAAGTAATTTTAAAAGTAAATGGAAGTTGATACTATGTTGCTTACTTCGACGAATGTTTGAAAGGTCTCCAATGCCTAATACGTTCGATGGCTCATCCATTTATTTCAATAACTTAGCAAAAATGAAATTCCAAAGACATGAAACAGCAACAAGTAATCGCCAATCAAGGCATAGTTAAAGTAAAAAATAACCAATGAAATTGGTCGACGCTAACAGCCAAATATAAAAATGAGAATTTTACAAAAGGTACAAATATACTTAATGATAATCGATGCAATAAAACAAAAAAACAAATATAAAATTAGAATAAGAAATTTTATACTATTGCGCATGCTTTTTCATGTAGAAGTTTAAAAAAATAAGTGCAATCTTATTTTGTTCTAGCATATATGTAAATGTTTAAAAAAAAGATAGGTGTGAATTAACAAAAGAAAACAATCAAAAACTGCTCTCATTAATTGGAGATGAAAGGAGACATTACGCGATTGTGGGCACAATATATTTCAGGAAAAAAAATTGTAGGCGTTTCTTCTGCAATAATTGAAGAATGTCATTGCAATAATTTTAATAAATTTATTTTTTTATTTTGCGGAATATGGAACACAAAAAATATATAAGAGCCACTCGTTCTTTCATCCATGATTGTAGGCGAGCAGCCTGCCATTATTTCCAGCACCCACGAAATACTCGACTGCGAGTTTTATTTGGATAGTAATAAAAGGATAAACTGTTCAATTTAGCAATGATTTATGTAAAATATATTTTTAATCAAAGTACGTTGCTTAATCTGTAATGGCAATGAGAAAAAAATTTGCCTAAATACTTTATGTAATTTGTTATTTATACAAACTGTGATCATATCTAACCTAGTATACTCAAGCCCGATTATCATCACCCCATTGAAGGCTTATAAACTGCGGGTCAAAAGAGTATTCCATTTTAGAAATTAATAAATTCAGCTGCTTTCCGAAGCAATATTGCGAAACCTAAAATAATTTACTGCAGACGATTGAGTCGACGTCAGTAAGAATAAATAGCATAGAGAGTTTCCGTGCATTTTATTAATGATACATTTTGAAGGCACTTAAAAACTTTGAGGTCCAAAGCATTATGAAGCAAGCATAAAACGTCTGTAGTTTTAAAGGGAGTGTAATTTTGACATTTCGGCTTCGAAGAAAGACCACAATTACTACCAAATAAATTGACTGTTAATATGAATCCAATCAATATTTTGTTAATAAAGTTAATCAATATATCTGATTTTGTTAATTAGATAGCCAAAAAATTTTCACCATTAAGTCGAGTAGTTGGCAAGGTTTCAAATAAGCCGAAAAACACTTCATTATAGTTTAAATAATATAAAGATTTGACTAATGTTTATTTTTATTACTTTAATGGATATTCTATCCATGTGACAATCAGTTTAGATCGCTTTCCTCTCTTAGAGATGGAAAAGGTGATCCCTTAATAATTTGTGCTATGCAAAAGATATTGAATTTCTCACTAAGACAGTAACCAATATGTAAAAAACAAGCATAATTTCTGTGGTTTTCAAAGGCTAGAGAAATATTGCCCTTGTAGTGTCCGTCATAAGTGCCTTTCGCAATAATCGAATGATATAAAGAGAGTTCTAGTAATTTGCATGCTTTGTTAACGAATCAAAAGGACCAAGAATCAGAGTTAAATTTGAATCACCACTGACAGAAGGTTTTTTTTCTTTTCCCAACTAAATTAAATTAAAAATTACTTCTTGGCATTGTCAGAACTTTTAACAAAGCTATTCTGTGTCGGTGCACATCTTTAATTAGAGCTCGCAAAGTACAAGACTGCACACCATGTTGCTTTCCATCCATTAGATTCAAAAATCCACTTGGGATTATTTTCGAGGGCATTATTTTTTGAGATAAGAATGTTTACTTGACCTGTTTATTGAATTTTAGCTATTGTAGATCTATTTAAATGTATTTTTTTTTTGCATAACCGATATAAATAAAATTTTTACCTGAAATTTTCCAAATGAGTTGCACGATTAAATACATATTTAAAATTTTTATATTGAGCTGCGACTTCAATTAAACAGTACATAATAATAATTTAAATAAATTGTTTAGGGCTTTTGTCAGGTGTGAATTCATTAAATAATTTGTTGAATCTTTTATTTAAATATACTCAAATTCAGCTGCGCTGGTGCTTTCTGATTGGTGTGATTACTTGTGCCAATCAGTATCGTGTTTTCGTCTTCTCGTTTTGTTGGCCTGTCTTGCAGTTTCCTGTCTTTACTCTGAAATGAGTGTCCCCGTATTTGTTCTTACACTATTGTTTGTTTTCACATCGAATGCCAAAGTTTACTTCGAAGACAGATTCACTGAAGGAAATATAAATAAATGGGAAAAGTCCAAGTACGAAGAAAGCACTCTCGGTGTATGTGAATTCGCAAAGCCTAAGGACATTTTCGACGAGAAAGAAGATGGTGGTATTAAAACCACACAGGATGCCCGGTTCTATCGCTACTCAGCTCCGCTTTCCACGCCCTTCTCAAACAAAGACAAGACCATATGTGTGCAGTTTACCGTTAAACACGAGCAAGATATTGATTGCGGAGGCGGGTATATTAAGCTGCTCGGAGATGACTTCAAACCAGCAGATTTCCATGGCGAAAGCGCCTACGAGATCATGTTTGGTAAGCAGTTTTTTCTAGTTTTATCTTCCCTTAAGGTCCCGACATCTGCGGATACGACAAGAAAATGGTTCATGTGATTTTCTCCTACAAAGGAAAAAATCACCTTGTTAAGAAGGACATTCCGTGCAAGTCAGATACCCTTACTCATCTCTACACCCTGATCGTCCGACCTGACAACACTTTTGAGGTTTTAGTCGACCAAAAGAGCGTGGAAAATGGGTCACTTGTCGCGGATTTCGAAATGATCCCTCCGAAGACAATTGATGTAGGTTTCACATTTCAATCAACAAACTTTATATTCAGGATCCTGAAGCCAAAAAACCTGAAGATTGGGTTGACGAGGCTGAAATTCCAGATCCTGATGACAAGAAACCCGATGACTGGGATCAACCCCAGACCATTGTTGACAAGGACGCCAAACAGCCAGAAGACTGGAATGAGGAGACCGACGGTGAATGGACTCCCCCGATGATCGACAATCCCGATTTTAAAGGCGAATGGCATCCCAAGATGATCCCTAATCCTGCCTACAAGGGCGAGTGGAAACCGCCTCAAATACCTAATCCAGACTTCTTTGAAGATCCCATGTTGTACGCTCGTTCGTTCGCCCACATTGGTCTCGACCTGTGGCAAGTGAAATCTGGAACCATCTTTGACAATTTCATCATCTCTGACGATGTGTCTGAGTGCCAAGCCCATGGCGAGTACTGGCGGAAGCGATTCGACTTCGAAGAAGAACTTGAGAAGAAGAAGCTTGAGGAGAAGCAAAAGGTAAGTCTGGTATGCACGATTAACTTGTCACATTTAGACGCCTGCGTCTGACGAAATCCCGAGTGATGAAGCTGATGACGATGAGGCGGAAAGTGAAGATAGCGACGAGAAGGACGCCGATGAATTCCCAGAAAAAGACGAGAGTGAATCTTCAGCTAAAGAGGAAGACGAGATTTCAGCCAAAGAGGAGGGCGAGTCTTCATCGAAAGACGAGTTGTGATTTCATACTGCTTTTGTATGCATGGTGCTCATTTGTGTCATAGCCAATTAAATGTGGTCCTCATTTGTTGCCTTCGTTCATTCCTTACCCTCCTTAATTGTTGGAGTGGGGCGGTAGGCTTAAAGTGTTTTCTTTGTGGGCTTTTATTAGCTGCACACGCTTTTGGCTGTACACAATCCACTAGGCCTAGGTTTAATTGTCCAGGTCTCGTTGCAAAATATGTTCCCAAATGCGTAGAAAAGTGACGTGTTGTTAACACCTTGTGTGACATTTGCGATGTCAACACGGAAATATGTTAGCAATCTCGCGACGTCCTGAGTAAAGAAATTAATCAATGGAAACGCATATAGTTGTTGGGGTCCAATTTGTTTGTGCGATTTTATGTGTTCGACACAGTCATTCCTTCAGATGGCAACTTCAGGGCTGGGTTGGCTCCCATGACAATTTATGTCGTGTTTTTTTTCGACCAATTCGAATGGCGTAAATTTGAGTTGCATAATCTTTACGAAGAGGCCATGGCAAAGGGAAAAATTCTCTTCCGATCAGAAATCTCCAGGAAGAACATCGCAGGCTGTCGTGGCCGGTGTTTATAAAAACGGCAATTATCTCCAGATGTGTTGTTTTTATGCGTGCAAGGCCATCAACATGTGCACATTGTCTCGCATGAACTAACTAGGCATCGTAACACTGGTTGTCTACCTAACGTGAGATGATCTAAGATGCATCGTAGCACCAAACATGCGCATTCGTGTTATAGGGAGTGTATGACGTGCTAAATCTGGTTCCATCCTCTGATCGTCGATCGATTGTAGCGGCTCTACCAACGGGGACCGACAATTCAAGACTTAAATAAAATCAGAATGAAGCGATTTCGTGTATAAATCCTCCAATTTATGCTCACGTCTGGTGTTAACTGACTATGTTTAGTTGGTCTCCATCATTTGAACCTTAATTGTTTGTTTACGGTTCCGATGTTCTGAGGAGGCGTCCATTTGCTGTTCATTTTTAACTGTTAGTGTTGGGCCGGAACTCGTCATTTTCACCTCCAATTAATTACGAAAACCTGCCCCTAGGCCATTGTCTCCCATGGCATCAAAATTGCTCAAATCACAGGCACCTCGCTTGTATCACAACCTTCAGCTCCCATAAAGATC